AGGTTAATAACACCGTAATCAGCACAAACTGGGCTACAATAATATGTGAGCAGTATGTATGTACGTGATTGTGTTTTTGAGAAAACAACGTTTATGCGTGCTTAGTGACATCACATATACATGGTACAGCATAATCAGTACAACGAAAGGGATTAGTACTGATGTATTTTAATGTATGATGACTTGCTAATTTGGAAGGATATGAGCATGAATAAAGCATGACTGTTTAGAATGAACTATGTCTTTACTAGACATTTTTTTTTAATTTTGTGAATCCTCTGTCAACCAGAGCAGATCCCAACTGAAAATAACATATTCATACTAAACTGATTAGATATGACAGTATGCTCAAATCTTCATGTCTCAAAGAAACTTTTAGCATACCACTGTAAACCCTGATTAAAAATTCAGCATAAAGCAGCTCTGAAGCAATATCAACTCATTAGTAAAAGTATTTGGTGAATTTTCTGAAAAAACCTTGATTTTAACCCTCTGGGGTCCGAGGGTGTTTTGGGGCCTGGAAAAGTTTTGACATGCCCTGACATTTGTGCTTTTTTCAGTTGCTTACAAACATTTGAATGTCTAAAGTTTAATAACACCGTAATCAGCACAAACTGGGCTACAATAATATGTGAGCAGTATGTATGTACGTGATTGTGTTTTTGAGAAAACAACGTTTATGCGTGCTTAGTGACATCACATATACATGGTACAGCATAATCAGTACAACGAAAGGGATTAGTACTGATGTATTTTAATGTATGATGACTTGCTAATTTGGAAGGATATGAGCATGAATAAAGCATGACTGTTTAGAATTAACTATGTCTTTACTAGACATTTTTTTTTAATTACCTGCCAAATACCCATAGACTCCAGCTTCACTAAGACTAAGAATCTTCTGATCTCCAGGAATATGAAAAATCATATAACGTCCCTCCATCCCACCGCATGAGAACGTGGCTGTGGCACCGTCTGCAAGAGTGGAAATTACAGCACATCTACAGACAGAAATATCATCTGTTATAATTTTCTGTTCATAGGCCTATAATGTTCTTCGGCTGACTAATCAGCAGAAAGGGGCGTTTAATTCCCGCCCACGTGTTCAAGCTGTTGATTCATTTTTTTACCCCTGAGCGAAAAAATAAAATTTAAGCCAAATTCTCTTTTTTCAATTTTTGGAGAAAAAAACTAAAAAGGAGCCGTTTTCTCCTTTTTCTACTTTCAATATTAAATCAATTCAGCTTTTCAGGATTCAGCTTTATTCAATGACCCGATTTTTTGTCCTAGAAATTTATGCAAATTAGTATCTATTTATTTTTCTTTTTACCCTATATGGTCACCTGGGGTGTCTTGCCTTACTGGATTAATACAATTCATTTTGACTTTCCTACTTTTGAAATTTCAGAAATGTGTCTTAAGTATGTTCTATATTCTGTCTGTCAGCATGTAGTGCAGGGTTCCTCATATCTTGCCCTGGAGGGCCAGTGCTCTGCAGAGTTTAGTAGTGATGGTGAAGTGAAGCATTCTGAACCAGTGAAGCTCTCAACACAATTGTATCGGAAAAAAAGGTTCATTACGCGAAGCTTTTTAACACGGTTTATATTGTGGCCATCTAGTGGTCATAAAAATGAATAACACCTTCCAAAGTGCTGTGTTCCATTACAGCCGCTGGTTCTACAACTGATTGTTTTGTTTTATTTTATTGTATATAAATAATGGTCATTGTCAAACTCATTCATTTGTGTCAGTGTACTGGCACTAAAATAAGTCAAATATATGTAAATCCTCGATCTGTCTATTTTAACTCTGTCTCAGTCCTGTTATTTCATGGGCAAAGTTAATTTGAGCTAAATATTTAATTACGATATTAAGAAAAAAACAAAAAAACAATGCTGACACATTATAAAGTAATATAACGTGAAGCAGGGCTATTCAATTGGCATCCTGCATCTTCATCTGGCCCATCTGGCCACATATGCCTTGAATTGTTTTTGCACTAATTAGTTTGTCCACAAGGTGGCATCACTGGCCCAGGCCATTGTTTCACAGCCGAAAAAGAAGAGACGGGACTATAAAACTATAAAATACAATTTATAGTTTTTGTGAAGATTGTTTTAAGTTCACTTAAATTAAAAGTTGTATTTTTCAGAGCCTACTAAATGTTAAAAATAAGTTCTTCCAAATATACTGTAATGTTGAATGGCTATAATTAATGGCTAAATTTGAGGTGAAATGCATTAGAGATAAAAATGAAAATGCAATAGAGATTTCAGTAGCAGTATTGGTATCAAAAATACTGGCCGTTGTTAATAATAGGCTACTTTGTAAAGAGAAGCCATTAGACATATTTTAAATATACCACCTTTAATTTAGAGGTTCAATGTGAAATTATGACAATATATTAATATGCAATTAATCATGATTAATTACAGAAAAATGTGTGATAAATAATATTTAGTATTTTTCTAATCATCTGACAGACAATACGCCTTAATGTTTTTATAGATGTTGATGTTGGTATTAGTTGCAGGGTTCCCACTCTTTCATGAACACCAGATTCTAGGACTTTTTAAAGCACCATTTATTTTATATCAAGCACCGATCAAATTCACACCCCAGCAGATGTAGTGTCATGAAAGACCTTACAGTACTTAACATTTCACAACTTACACTTAACATTTACATTAAACATTTCAGAGTAATAATGTTTTGAATGTGTTGGTTTCATAAATTGAGACCGTTTTGAGCAGTTGTGTTCAAAGGAATTTAATCAAATCCATTGAAGTCAGTATTGGTGATAAATTAAATAAAATTTCTAAAATGTTGATAATATGCATCAAACTGGTTCAAACTGCTGTAGTTCTTGTACAAGATTTAAATTTGAAATAATTTCTCAATTTTTTAATTAATAAAAAGTGGTTAAATGTTGTAATAACATGGTAAAAGCTGATAACATAAACAATTTGCACATTCACTCAAAATATACGTTACTCGTTAATAAATAAACTCAAGTCAATGTAATTTTGTAAATCCCATTTTTTCATCTTTGACCTAGGAATGCAGCTCAAACATGCAGCTGCTCAAAATGTCAGTATTTTTAAAAAATATTTCATGAGAATTTTAAACCTTGTACATGTGCAAATCTGCAAAAAAAATTATAAATAAAATAAATACAAATAAATAGGACTTTCTATTTGCTTTTAAACTGTAAACGCTTTTCACCAAGCTGTTTTTCCAATTTTTCAAGTTCTACATTTTCTCCTTAGCTCCATGTTGCAGTAAGTTTTGGGAGTTCATTTTTAGTCCATCTCCTATCCTGAAAAGTCTGTCTTGCAGAGACTGACAAAAATGGGCTCCTAAAACTTACTGCTAGATTCTGGAAGATCAATTCTTCAAACAGTGGTACAAGAGCTGGTCCTTCAAGAGTCACTCTCAACTTATCTGTCCATAAAGCCTAGAAAAATAGTCTTCATGTATTTCACAACACTTCAGCATGTTATTCTAATTAAGTGAGGGTCATTTTTTAGCAAAGTCTCTGAGAACCTGACACCTTGTAATTATGGAGACTCCAGGTAGGTTGCAGTTCTGGAAAATAGTGGCACTGGAGACTAAAAGGTTCCTGATGGTTTCACACTTAATTCTTCACATTCATTATTAATTATTTTGCAGTTAACATGCTCTTTTCTTCTCCACCTGTTTTTTTCTGATCCCGCTGACCCAATGAGCATTTTGCTGACCAATGGTCATGCCTTAACTTTGAAATTTCTGTATTGCATTAGTTTTTAATATTTCTCATGGAGATGTAATCATTTTTGACTTCTCAGTCTGAGTTAAATATCTTTTCTTTTTTTTTTTTTGCCTCATTTCATCCGGAAAAGAACCTGCCTAATAATTCTGCACACCTTAATAAGGTGTTTTTCATTTCCAGCCTTCATGGACAATTATATATATCACTTATAAATGATTAAATACAAAAATAATAGTAGTTATTAAGATTGATGTGGTTTGGAATTGGTAAAATGTGCTTGGAAAAAAATATGATCAGAATATCAACGTGCCTAATAATTATGCACGCACTGTAAGATGTGCGCCCTTTACGCAGAGTGTGCGTGATTGCAAAATCGAAAGTGAAAGTGAACAGCGAGCGCTCATTCAAATGCAATTTCATACCCCGCATATTGATAGCGGCTCCCTGATATCAATTCTTCTAACAGTGGTACAAGAGGATGTGGTGCTGATTCCTTCAAGAGTCACTCTCAACTTCTCTGTCCATAAAGCCTATAAAAACAGTCTTCATGTATTTCACAACACTTCAGAAAGTTATTCTTATTAAGTAGGGGTAGTTTTTTTGGATTTTTTTACCCAAGCAAAGTCTCTGAGAACCTGACACCTTGTAATTCTGGAGACTCAAGGTTGCAGTTCTGGAAAATAGTGGCACTGGAGACTAAAAGGTTCCTGATGGTTTCACACTTAATTCTTCACATTCATTATTAATTATTTTACAGTTAACTTGCCCTTTTCTTCTCCACGTGTTTTTTTTCTGATCCCCGCTGACCAAATGAGCATTTTGCTGACCAATGGTCATGCCTTAACTTAGAAATGTCTGTGTTGCTAAATGCATAAAACGTCTCGGTTACGTATGTAACCCTCGTTCCCTGAAGGAGGGAACGGAGACGTCACGTCGGTTGACCGACGAAAATGGGATCTCGCTTAGAGGGACCAATCCACTTAGAGTGTAAACTAAACGAGCCAATGCACATTGGCATGCGATTATTGCATCAAGCTGCTGCTGATCACAGCGCGAGTATAAGTAGGCAGCAGATGCAGCGCATATTCAGGTTTTCGCTGAGGAGCCGAGCCGGTG